AGAAATTTCACCTCAGGTGCAGTTTGCCCTTCCCGAACATTCATTTACTTTTAGCCAAGGGAACTAATTTGGCATTGGCCAACTACAAAAAGCTTTCCATCAAGCTTTTGACCATGACCATATTATTTTGCCATTGTGTTAGTAGTCGCCGTTACTGTGTGCAGTCGATGGTAGTTTTTGAATTTGTTGGCACAACAACATGGCGTATGCGTAATATGTGAGCAATTTAAAACCAAGTGGAAAGTCAACTCATATCTACTGCTGACATTTATGGTTAATGTTATGTGGTTGCAGCTCCAACTGGCCAAAGGACGCTGGCGTCCTGTGCGTGGGGACGGCAATTGCAGCTGTGGCTGTGTAGCTGATGCTCAGCTCTGCTCTGCTCTGCTGGCTGATGGCTGCTGGCTGCTGCCCGTTGACGTGCTGTAAATTTGAAAAACAGTCAGCAGCCAGTGGCTGCTGCTATAAAGAGTTGCCTGTTGGCTCAAAGCAAACGATTGCTGCAGCTGTTTTGTGTGCTGACTGCTTTATTTGTGTGCGGGTTTGTACAACAAATTAACTGTGGCAAAGCCAAAGACCGAGAGAGACAGAGCGAGTGGGACTGGGACAGAGCTAGAAATTGGCGACGTTGTTAGCTGCAAGTGATGAGTGCAGCTTGTGGTTTGTTTGTGCTGCAGCAGCCTCAGCGTTTTGTTGGGTTAAATGGTTTGTCTGTTTTAGAACATTAATTTTGTTTCCAGTAGATGGATGCAACTCTCCCTCCCTCTCTCTCTCTCTCTCGTTCAGTGCCTGCCAAGCTTGAGTGCCGCAAGTAAAGTTAATGAAATTTTGCACAAAATCACTTTATTTGCTTAAGCAAAATACATATACACATATATTTGAAGTAGACTCTCGAAAGAGATTTGCCAACAATAAATGACTTGTTGCAAATGCTACAAAACAAGCTAATTTGCCTGCTCTAAATGCAAATGGTGCGTAACTAAAGATATTTGTTTATTGATAAATGATCCAGGAAATGTACTTGTATCACGAATATAATATACCATGACAAGAGAACGTCGTATTGTTAGAGTTATCGTAGAGCTAGTACTCTTAGTGTACTCTTATTGCCGCTTCATTAGAGTGAGGCAATCATGGCT